AGAAGAAGAATACGCGAATTCATATATACCGCGATTTTTCCTGACTATCCGCGTCAGCTTTGTGAAGGGAGAGAGAAAGGAAAGCGCGATAGGAATGCTGCGTCCCGTAAGATCGTACATAACTCCCCTTTGTCGCACTGTGCCGTACTGAACTTAACGTACGAGTGCGCTCCTGACGAGAGGAGAGGACTCGCGAAAGAGAACCGGACGAAACAAAAGGATATAGCGGCGGCGGACGAAGCGGGGGTGAGCGCAGGGGCAGAAAATGATCGGGGGTAACGAAAACGGAAACAAAAGCGACGCGGGGCGATACGCAGTATGGCGACGCTTCCGGTTCGCTCACCGCACACAATGCACTCTCTCGTGTTAACTTCTGTGCAGTCGCTCTCTTCTCGCCGCACGTCGCCTTCCCCACCATTCATGTACATCTCTCGCACATCGTATCTCTCACCTCTCTCCGGCGAAAGGTATCCATCCCCGCGAAAATTCCGCGACTCTGATACGCGACTCCAACATGTTACGTAAGCGTGCTGTTAAGAGAGGAAAGCCAGAAGCTCGTTTCTCGTGTTACTTTCGACCAACAGCCCTTATAGAAATCCAATTTGACACTGGTCTATTTAATACTGAAAATTGCTTACATATTTTGAGCATTAAAACTTTTTGAAAGCTCTATTACAATACTTTTAATACTCAAAAGAAATAATTACTATTTTCTAGCACACACATATATTTAATATTCAAAAAGTACATTTATACTTAAAAACTTCAGTGCTTTTAATATCTACTCAAAATAAGTGATTAATAAATAAGTAATAATTCTAATATTAAATTTCTGCGAGAGAGTCGTGAGCAATGCGTCAAAAATTCTTGAATTGTCTTCCCTAAATTAACGCTTCTAATGGGAAATTTCAATCTTCCAATTTTTCTCGCAACAAGTAATATCCAAAGTTACTTTAATAAGTTATTTCATCTAAAGCAGAAATAAAAATATTCACAATAATCGACGTTGATTTCGATTTAAAAGAATCTCCAACGACATTGATCGTATGGACTTTTTAAAAAACACAAACTATGGCATTATACATTTGGCGCGAGTCTCTATAGTCTTTGACACGCGTACGAGGTAGGCATTAGACGATATTAAAACAGACCGGAGCTTTTGCTGAGCACTGGCAAGGAAACGGAAGCCTAATATGCAGAGAGATGTTTTAAGAAATTAGTCCTCGTTGTTATGAATCGCAGAATGACATGATCTTACGACTTCATTTGACTTTCTCGTCGAGAGAGTGGCGCTATTAATTACTTGTATCGTCACAGTCGACACTCTGTGCTATAAAATAATACCGCGTAAAAATACTTTATACCTTTTTGACATGTCAAATGTTATTAATTGCAAAAATTCGAAATGCTCACTAAATATTGATAAAAAAAAAACCTAATAAATGAAAAATACGTGTAGAATATAAAATATTAATATTTCCAAAATTAATAGACTTCCTACGATAAGCCATTGTCTAAACTTCAATTATTAAATCTAGTAAGATTGAAGAATATGGCTTATATGATGATTTATTATTCAAATTAAAAGAAATTTTTTTTAAATAATGCCTGCCGAACTCACCAGATCTTTCCCGAGGATGAGAAATGATCACAGAAAATCATCAAAATCTGAAAATGTTAAAAAATGATTTATGAGTTTGCTGATGTTACACACAGAAACGCCACAAGCTTTTCAGAAACGTTACCTGTGAAAACATTTCAAGGACAAATCTGTATGTTCTTAGACCGACACATTCCATCGAAAGAGGTAAAGTAACAAAAGAGTTTCTATGTGATGCCTTTGCATCATTATCGAACAATCATTTTGTTGCAAGACTGCATTGGATACAATTTTAAATATTAATTTTTATTTGACCTCACAAAAGTCACAATGAAAATGTTTTAAAGTGACAACGGCCAGTCCAAAATTACAAAAAAAGACAAACAATTTGGTTTTCCCAGAACAATTGTGTAAAGTGCGTTAAATAAACATTTTCATATACGCGCGCAAACGCAACGCGTATAAAACACGCTGTTCATTTATTATCTCTCGCAAAATATATCCATTTTAATGGACTTCAAATTAGCGCGCTTGTATTATATGCGTTGTCCTCAACTGCGCGTTTTAAAGTAACTTCGTGTTCAAAGTGAATATTTATTAGACACTTAAAAGCCACAGTGGGCCAATATTAAGACTGCATAGAGATTAAAATATTAAAACAGTAAGTTTAATGAAATTGATTTTTAATAGTGTAAAAAAAGATTTCCTATTGTTGCAAATAGATATAGATGTTGTTTTTGCAAAGTTGCAACGAAAATATTTACTACATGCTGAGCTCTACTAAACCGTTTATAAGTTAATGTTTTTTTAAAAAATATGTTTACACTGTCTTTGTTTTTCACACATTTTCTGTCGCCTAATTCGCCACTTTTAGCTACATTTCTGCCTTCGCGTATAGCCATGAAATCAAAATTCATTGAATATATCTGTTTTGAAATCCAATACATACCGCCAGCATCGAGGTATATATCGTGGTATATTTACTCAGGTAATTTTGACAGCGCTTGTTAGTAATAAATCATAGCTGAACAAGAAATAAGAAAACTGTAACTGCACTTAAATCTTCACAATACAAAAAATAACCCTTTCTTCAAAAAACGAACCCTTTCTCTGACATGCATAACAATTGTTGACATCTCATAACTCCTACTCATTGTCAGACCATTCAGTGGAAAGTCAAAAAATTCATTTATATTCGAAATAATAGAATCTTTGCATTTGCAACTCGTTCACTCAAATTAGTCCAGAAAGGTTTAAATATGTATTATACACAGTCATATATACGTAGAATAAATCAAAAGAGTGACTGTCAAAAGGAGGTTTATATGGCCTGTAATAAATCTTCTGTAGTAACCCTTTAGAGTTTCATCCATTATTCAACGTTACCAACATTACCCACATTGCCGATGTTACACGAATCTAATTGCACCCTCACTTCCGCTTTTACTTATGAAAAACTTCAGTTTAAATAATTCTATATAGAGAATATTTCCCTTAATAATAACAATAAATAAAAGTATTTTTTATAAATCACTACTTTAATTTATACATACACATTTCAAAATTTTTTTATGCTTGCCAATTTATATGTATATAGTTCTTTATGGTTGATCGAACAGTCAATAAAAGATATATTATAAATGTTCGTAATAGATAGTAGATTATACTTATTTTACTTTCAAGCGTTATGTATATTGTTAGTCTGCAATTTTAATTATAAATAGAAAATTTTATGATATACTAATTTTCAATTTCTTGACCACAATTTGGAGTCAATTTTTCTTTTAATGAAAATATCGAGATGTTAATCAAATTCGAATTACATGTAATTATTAATAGAAGATCCTAATCAGCGAATTACAATAATACAACAATTTCTATTCATCAATATTATGTAGATAAACACATAAAATTGAGTTTTCTAGTTTTTTCAATTATTATAACAACAATTATCAAAGTCTTCTTTATCTATTTGATTCAAGTTTATTTTATCAAAAAATTAATTTTCGGAATTTTATAAATTACAAATAAAGTGTACTTGATTCAGAATATGATAACGCACTTTCATACATTAACGATTTTATTAAAAAAAAAAAATAAAATTTGAAATAATTTAAATATTCGGTTTAACATATTTTATTTGTAAACAAGAAAATCTTAATGCAAGTTTAACATTTTTTTTAATGTTTCTAAAATTTGATTCTTTTATATTATATATGTTTAAAACATTTTCGTAAAATAATTATCAACATTTTATAGAATTTTTTTTATATAATACTCTTAATAAACTGTTAATAAAATATGTATGACTCTTTATTGTATAATAAAATATAAATCAGTTAATCAATTTTCTTTTGATCTTTATTTAAAAAATTTAAACAAAACAAAGTTTTTAAAAAAATTAATTAATAGTGAAACAGAAAAACGGTGACCATAATTGTCAATAATATAATAAAAAAGTATAAAAACTATTATATATTTTTAAATAATTATACAGTGTTCAACATACCTTCAAAATAATATTCTCCGTATTCTTTGAAAATTATGTTTATAAATCGTTGTGCTCGTGAATGTGTCATTGGTTCACCACTTGAACAAGACGCATTAACCTTGGAGGTCAAGAAACGCGTGCAGCTGCTGGACCAGATCACTTGTACGTGGTGGGATAGTTCGAACACGTGCGCGTGAGAATTTACGTCGTCACGTAAGCGTGGCGTAGGTGGCTCGATTGGTGGAAAGGTAGTGACGAGGCCGAACATGACGAAGAGAACAGAACGTGAAAGCAGAAAGACCGAGGAAGGGAGGCAGATGAAGCGTGGTAGAGAGAGAGAGAGAGAAAGAGAGAGAGACCAAGTGAGAAGAAACGAGAGAGAGAGAGAGAGGAAGAGAGATGGAGAGAGAAAGAGGGAGAGAGAGAGAGAGAGAGAGGCGGAAAGAGGTCGAGTGGGTACGTTAAGGAAGAGCGGAGGCGCCAAGCCACCCTTCGCGCGAGCCAGGCAGCAGGCAGGCAGCCCCTTTCGCAAAGCACCCCCTAAGCCTGGTTAGGGGCGAAGGCGGCGAGCCGCGGAGGCCACAACACGACCGCCGTCCTCATTGGTCGACGCGCTTGCTCTGGGTGGGGCTCCGGAAAAATTGGAGGGGAGAAAAATCCCCCCTAAATAGCTGCGGCTACGGCTGCGAAAAACTAGAATCCGCTCAGCCGGCATCGAGTGCGCGTCGGATATTTTAACATTTTATCTGTTCGTGGTGTGTGAAGGTACAGTCGCAACAGAACTTCAAATCAGGAGCGCACAATGCTTCTTCACTGAAAGGGAGAGAAAGGGGGAAGTAGAGAGAGGTAATATGTGTGTTTACTGTTATTTGTTCGAATGTGAAAGTGAATAACAAAGAACAACAGTGATCGATCGTGTTCACCAAAACAGTGTTTGCGCATAGGCGCTTGAATGTATAACATTCAAAATTTCGCCTTTTAATCTTGTTACTGAATTTTTTAAAAAATGCATCTGCGGGATGGTCCGTCGTGCGCGGGGGAGCCTTTTAGATCAGTCCACGAGTCCGTTCGGAGATACCATGGCGATTTGGTAACAACGGGGAGCCCTACCATCATGTGCAGCTCATTACCGTCTCACTGGAGATCAAACAAGTCGCTTCCGGTAGCATTCAAGGTCATAGCTCTCGACGAAGTCGCGGACGGCACCCAAGTCACCATTAAGGCTGGCAACGATGAAAACTGTTGCGGCGAACTAAGGAATTGTACGGCGATCATGAAGGGTCAGGTCGCCAAGTTCAACGATCTCAGATTCGTCGGTCGCAGTGGAAGAGGTGAGAGCTAAGAAGAATTTATGTATTCACACATGTACGACTTCCTCAAGTATTCACAAAATTTTAAGCGGACACACTTCGCTTTCGTTTGCAGGAAAATCATTTACTCTAACGATCCAGATCAATACAATACCGTTCCAAGTAGCCACGTACGCCAAAGCTATCAAGGTTACAGTAGATGGACCACGCGAACCAAGGTCCAAGTCGAGTAAGTCGATATACAAACAATAACATATTTAACTTTATCGTAATATTATAGTAACTTGCGACAGTGTCGAAAAGCAGAGTCGGAACATGAAAGTATACCGCGCGATTTAATAATAACGTATAGTACCGAATGTAATAAACCTATTGTAGAATTTAAGTTTAAAATAAACACACAAGTATAGAGATTGATTTAAAAAGTTTTCGAGAATTGTAAAAATAATAAATCGCATTCAACACCACTTTGCAGCGATTCGCGAGAGAAAATATAGAAATCGCGAAATGCAATTCGACAGTCCGATGAGGAGTGGACTCGGGGGGTATATGATATTGTTAGAAGAGGGGTGGTATTCGACCGACGGGACTGAAAGTCGTCGGAAGCTCCGTGACCACCGCGGAATCCGCAAACGGGCGTCGGAGCCTCGCGGGCGTTTAATAATCCGGCGTATATCTGGTGGACCTCAAACCGCGAGGTGGTGGCGGTGCCGCTGAACGGTGCCGAGCCCTCGACACCGAGCGTCGGCTCGCACGTGCACGGGCGAGCGCGCGCACATGCACGCCGCGCAAGAGCACATGCAGCACACACACGCCACACGCAGCTCTCGGCGTACACACAGACACAGCGAGACCTGGCATCGTGTCAAGCCGCGAGAACGAGGTCTTCGTCGGCGGTATGCTCTTTAGCTGCTGCGCGTTTATTTTTCCCGAAAAACGCCGCCGCGCCCCGCCGGTTGGTCGTCGTGGCCTACTATTATAAAGCCCGTATCAGACTACCATTTCTGTGTAGGTCGATCCGATTGCTTATTTCAACTGCCGCCATACTAGACCAATAGCAATGAATCTCGCTCCTTACGATTAGTCTCTATTATTTGTCGGCAGTGTCAAACTATCAGAGTCGACATAGTCGGATTGGCCTGCGGAGTTAAGCTAGAAACACATAGGCCGGCATTCACGGTCGATTCTTATTTTAAAATCAAATTAAGTAACGTGGCTTTGTGACCGTCTTAAATGCAATCTTAGTTATTGATCGATCACAGTCGATTATTCTTTTCATTCGATTGTGATCGATCAGTTTCTAGCTTCTAACTTCTGATTCATTACTATAGTGGCTCATTGTAAAAAGCTGTAAGAAATTGATCAGTCATAGTCGATTATTCTTCTCACATTCGACTGTGATTGATTAATTTCTTACAGCTTGAGACTTAAGGTAATGTAGGAAGCTCATTAAATATAAGAATCAACTATTGAGCATTGAAAAACGTAAAGCAGCAAGTGAATTGGCCAATCACGCAGTAGAAAATCTAAGGCAGCAATTACATTTTATTATGATTGGCTAATTTGTTCTCCGCTCATCCCCTATCGCTTTACATTTTTCTACGTGTCATGGACTTTAGTAGTCCGATACGGGCTGAAGTCAAATTGTTTATTAGTCGGCAGCCGGGTAAAGAAACCAGAAGGAGAGACGCGGAGGATACTAACTGGCGGCGGCGAAGGCAACCGGGAAAGATAGAACGCCTGCAAAAGAAGCCGCGTTTACGCGTTTGTTTATCGCACCGCATATGGCGGTAGCATGTGCCGCGCCACGAAAACCCGCGCCACGTCGTAATAACGGATTTTATGCCACGCTCGTATAAACAGAGACACACTAGCTGCTCCTCCGGATCGCCCGGGGAGAAGCGCCGTTAATCTCTGCTTTTATAGATCTTGGGTGGCCGAGTTCCTTCTTCCTAGCGTACGTCAGTTCGTTAGTCGCGTCACGCAGAGATTTCATTCGTCAAACAGTCAAGATCTCTTACAACAGCTTTACATATCTCTTCGTTTTTCTCGCAAATTTTATAACGCACGGCCACCACAACATAAACTGCGAGAGAATTTGGTGGATCGTAAAACTCCGAATGTTGGTCGAGCGCGTAGATCGAAAGAAACGATGAAATCTATTTTCAATCCTCGTAGCTGGTCGTTAGCGCACGTTTATGTAATCGAACACTTCCGATTTTATTTTACAGATTATCAGTATAGCGCCGGTTTTCATGGACTTGGTTTATTCAGTCCCTGGCTGGACAGTACATACTTCGGAACAACTTGGAGCTTGCCGCATCATATGTTTAAAGGTAAAATATCGCGACGTCACTGCGTGCGCGAAAGAAAGAACGGGGAAAAAAGTAGACTGAACGGGAAAAAATATTTCACACCTCTATGTATCGCGAACGTGTAAAAAAAAAGTCTTAACAGAGAGAGAGAGAGAGAGTCCGCGCTCACGAGAGAATCCGCGCGTTATCGATTTCGTCGAGTTCGCGACGCCTGCCGATGATTCATACTCCGTGAGCTGGACCGAGGGGTGAGTCTGAGCTCTCTTTTCCCATAGCGGACCCCTCTACGGTCCCCTCGTCCCGCTTTCCCGTAGGCACGTACATCCCTTTCGTCGTTGAAACAACAATACGACTTACTACTACGTTCGCCCCCGCCGAACGAACGGCCGAGATTAACCGATATTTTTTTCCTCAGGACCATCAACCCCCGAAATACTCAATACGTCCATCGCGCCAATGTTAACATCGTATCCAGTAGTAGACTATATCACTAGTTATCACGATTACATGACATTGCCGATAACCAATGTGACGACGAACGCGATATCGCCGGCCTTGCTTACGACGACTCTACACAGAGCATCGCCCAGAACATCACCCAGAACGTCGCCCAGAATGTCGCCCAGGATGTCGCCCAAAACATCTCCTAAAACGTCTCCGAAAACGTCGCCCAGAACGTCACCCAGAACGTCGCCCAGCCCCAGCGAATCTGGTAGTGGCGAGTCCGCGATAGAAGAGGTACGAAGTGCCTTCGTGCCTCTTCGACACAACACCTTGCCACCGATTACATCCTCGACGTCATCGTCCCCAGACAGAAATCCTAGAAAGCCAATCGAGGGCATGAGAAACGAATTGAAGGCACCCACCGCGCTCATCTCCGATAAGTATTCGCCCTCACACAGGAGTCCACCGCCGACGAAAATCTCACAGCCGTCTACGAAAGTTTGGAGGCCATATTCGAAATCGTAGATCCAAGTAGCGCAAGAATGACGTCTCGAATACCTTGGAAGAAGGCTAGTGAAAACGTATAGCCGTGTGGTGGTAGACGAAAATATAATAATTTTATAATTGTATGAACACGAATAAAATATTTATAAAATAAAAATTTACAAAATAAAATTAAAATAAAATTTGAAAAATTTTTATTTTATAAGTTTTTTATGAATGAATCAAAATTACGAAACTTATGAATAAATCAAAATTATACAAAAAAGCAAACGTTTAAAAAAGTGATGTTTCGAGACGTGTCAAAGACTCTTTGTCTACCATTACGTGTGCGTGTTTCAAGTTTTACAAATTCATGAATTTTATAATTTTCTGTATAAAAAAAAAATATAAAATTCTCTGAATTTTATAAATTTGGACAAATGTAATACGAACATGTAGATATACCGTGTATATAGTTCGTGGACAATAAAAGTAGTTACACAGAGAGATAAAGATTTATCTACATTTTGTGTGTTCATGGAAAGTACGTATAAATGTGAATAAGTGAACATGTGAGTGAAAGAGGGAGAGAGAAAGAGACCAAAAAGACAGAGATATTGATATTATTTATAAGCCAGAGTTTTAATGTAAATAAGTATAGTAGAAACGCAACGAGAGAGACGAATAAAGTCGAAAAAATCCACGTAAGAAAATTTAAACAGTCTGTCATATTTAATCACACCTTTTCAGCACCTTTAAAGTTAAATTTAACGATCGATCACTATTATATCCTAAGAATGATCGATATCGTCGCGAGATCTATTCTCAAAAGTGTCAAAGAAGTGTCGTCGAACAGTCCGCAGGCATCGCGAATAGAAAGGAAGGAATATGAAAGAGAGCGGAACGTCGCACTTCGTGCTGCTGCAAGGGGAATCCATATTTTTTTTTTTGTCGCGATTTAAATCTGAATGGTCGTGCCGTCGCGCAATCGTTCTGTCTCTTTCGTGTGTGCGTAAAGGATCCCATACGGTGAACACAAGGGTGGAGAATGGTTTATATCGAGGGGAGTGCGTGAGATCTGTATTAGTACCTATAGGTTTGGAACATCAGCGGTTCTCAGGTCCCTCAAAATAAACCGTCGTCGTCGGTATAGGTCAGCGGTTCTTTGCGTAGAGCATTCGCCGCGCGAGTTGTCGATTTGTCGCCAATAATTGCACTTAATTTCACTTTGCGTAAAAACATGATGCAACCGCGGTTCGATAACGTACGGCTCATTCGACGAGATGTCGCATGACGCGAAATGTCCGTCGGGACTGTGCTGCATCACGCTGAAACACGACCTGGGGTAAAGGATAGTTTTTTTTCTGAATTGTTCCGGTCGTGTTTGTCAACTGGTGCACAGAGTACGAGCGCAGTTAATCTCGGTGACGTCGAATAACTCAATTCTCGCATTCCGGTTGCAGCTGCGACGTGTTACGCGCGCGTCTCCGATATATGCCTTCGGATCGAAAAAAAAACGCTGCAAGCGGAAATTCGATACGCGGCGTGTAACATACTGGGCGGCAGCCCATGTAAAATCTTGATCAGGCCGCCTTGATTAAAAATCGCGATCGAATCCGCGCTGAAATTTCAAAAGTGACCGATCGATCGTACCAGGCTTGGCATCACGCTTAATGGGATTAATCCCCGGCGAGAAAATGAGAACCGCGTTGACACCCCGTAACTGTGGGGCTGTTCGTTGACGAGTAGACAACGGAACCAAGCAACCATGAAGGGTCACCACATCAACCGAGGCGAGCCGATCCAAGCCAATCCGTCGCGCGAGCCAGCCGGCGCTAACTAATGTTTGCTCAAAGAATCGTCATGTATAATTGAGTCAGCCGCGGCACGGGATGGAAAAAATCAACGGACGGACGTGCGGATCCCCGAGCTGAATAATCGACTTTTGGTGTATATAGACTTCCACTCGCGATTTTGAAACAAACCGCTCTTATTAGGCGAACCATTTGCTATTTTATGTGCTGCAACGCCGGGCTATCGCGTTTGACCTCGCGATCTCACAATTAGTATAAACGGAGGGAAAATTAATATTTTTCGAGATAACTACGTTAATTGCAGCAACAAAATTTACGTACATATCTCGTGTACTTTGTCCAATATAAAAGATTCACGGTATCAAGCAAAATGTTCATTCTAAATGCAAAATCAAATTTATTTCGGTCATTAGATCGCGTCTTTCTTATAATAATTATATATTGTCACAGAAATTGTCATTTTTTTCTAGTTGCTTGTAAAAAGAAGAACGGAGACATAAAGAAGAAAGAGACGCTTAACAGAAAACATAATTTTAGTCCTCTAATTGGTTATTACGCCAAAGTTGCGTGTTAAAATTAATATTCTAAACCGAATGAGACACACGATATGATAATGTTCTAAAATTTTTGTAATTTTCAAAACATTTAAATTGTGAAAAACTTTGTTTTCTGAACTGGCGCGTTGTGTGTTATTGTAGCAAATAAGCGGTATGTAATAAAGTTGGAAGTAAACAGTATTATTACAACAATTCTAATTAGTCACACAGAGAGATCGATACAGAGACGACGAGAACTCTGCGACAAGCAGTTGAAGTATAATGCGACGCGGAAGGAGCGGTTGATTCGCTCCGTCGACATGGCAGAGGACGTCGATCCTCTTCGCTAGTCTAGAATCGTGAGGACCCTGGTTCGAGGGTCCTAGAGTTAGGCAATCAGCGTTGATGAGGGGGTCAGGTCGAGGGGTGAAGGGCTCGGACAATTAGTAAGTACCCCGCCCACTCGCTCCTGTGTGTCGCCTCTCGCCCCGGTTCACCTGCCTAACAACGCGCCGACCGCAGCCGCTACGCATGCGAAAGAGCCGCTGGACGCGGGGCTGGGACGCTTCGTTTACGTACGTGCATCGCGTACGCACTGGATTACGCGCCCGTAAAGGTCTCTGTTCACGGTTGCGGAGGCAGTGTCAACGCGATCGGTCGAGGCAAATCGGCGAGCCTACAGCTATCCCGTTTACGCCGATAATACGGCGATTGCCGTTTGCACCATGCAAAAACCAGCCTCGCAGAAATTTAATACTAGACTCCGTACTAATTAATCTTTTATCTCGAGTATTAAAAACAATTTCTAGTATTAAATTGGATTTCTGTAATAGGACGCGTCAGGTATTTTCCTACGAAAATGTGAAAGTAGAACATGATGCGTTTCAGAAATTATATAGAGACTGCAATATTTGAAAAGAGTAAATCTGTTTACGTGGAAAGAACGATTTTATTAAAGCGTCTAAAAATATATATTGTATCGGACATGATATGTTCTAGAAATTGTAGAGATTGCAATACTCGAAAAGAATAAATCTATATTTACATGGAAAGAACGGATTTATTAAAGTATCTAAAAAAATTTAGCCAGATACACATTTAAAAATAATTTTATCAAATCATCAAAATGATTAAAACGTCTAAGCTGGATATTAGAAATGTCAAAACATTTTGCATTATTATTCATTGTCCTCGAACGAATTATTTTCAACAAAATTATTTTCAGATCTACACCTAGCTAAAGTTTTAGATACTTCAGCAAAATCATTCTTTCCGTGTAATTTCAATGTAGAGCAGATAATTCCTTTGGGTTGTGGTTTCTTTATGAACAATAATAGAATTTTCAGATCAAACAGCATTGACGATGAGAGATCTTTTCGAAAGATACGAGGAGTACCACAACACGATATAGTATAATAAAGTATAAAAACATAAGATCTCCTGCGGGGATATTCAAAGAATCCTCACTGATCTTCTCTAGCAATACTCTAATTATTCTTATGATGAAACGTATCGAGGATTACGCGGTATTTTGCAAAAGTCCGAAGAAGATTGTGCGGCGGGAAATCGCGGAAATAATAAGCCTCTTTCGAAAGGAATTCGCAATGGCAATGAAGACAATTCTCTTCTCTTGACGCGGAACCGTCGTCTTCGAGAGGCGCCCCGTTCCTCGAACTTAACGTCTTTTGCTCGTGGCGATTCGAGGGCGAAGGTAAAGGCGAAAGCGCGGCATCGCGCGACCTTAGGAAAAACGTTTAACGAGCTGTTTTGCATCGCAATGCCCCGACCTCGTTATCGGTTATCGACCCGCTCGCGGCTGCTGTCGTGGATTAAAGAGTACCTACTCCACCGTCACGTGTACGTCACGTAGTGCGTCCACGCACACGTTGTACCGCCGAGGCGTTGTTTAATCGTCGATTGGCACACAGCGAGAGCCGTTGAAAAGGCGAATTGTTTCGCGGAAACCACCGATTTTCAGGCCGCGTTCGCCGCTAAATCGGCGCACCCGCCGCGCCGTCGTTTCGCGGAACGCGGATCGATCTTTCCACATTTGTTTCCGAGAGGAAACTTGTTTTTCGCTCGTAGAGAACCGGGCCCGGCCGCGCTTTTGTTCCTTTGCGTGTTGAAATTTTTCACTCGCCCTCCGACCAGCCACGCAATCAAAAATTCTTTTTCTTCCATGGTTTTTCATTAGCGATATCGCGAAATTACGAACGCGACGCTGACTCGATTCCTTAGATCGATCATCTTAGAAACGTTGTGAAGAGCAATAAGTGAATCGAAAAATTTCGCCGCATCATACATTATTAAACGTTTTTAACCCTTTTCTGTCAATGCATGAGTAACTACATCGAATTTTAAACAGTAAAAATTTTTATATTTTTATGTGAATTTCGTTATGACATATCAAAAACTCCACCTTTTAAAGACCCGTTTTATACACGTTTTAATTTTTTTAATTCTTTTTGCGAAAATTTTGTGAAATTCAATCATAAAAAAGTGAAAAATTATGTATTGACAAAAGGGTTAAAATTATCAAATATATTCCAAATAATAATTTACAAATAATCTGTCTATCTGTGAAAATAACTTTGAGCATTCTTAAGATAGAAGAGTATCAGATTAATAAACGAAAAAAAAACTTCTTGTCTAAAATTAATCTCGTCACGCAAAGACGATGCGGTTTTCTCTCCAAACTTCTCAATA